AGTTCCTGATCTCACACTTAACCAGCAGAGGTGACAGTTATATCAGCTCAGTGACCATTATGTGACCACCATCCAGAATCCACCACAAGTTCCTCTTTCCACTGTTTATGTTGATGGATGGCTCACTACCCTCAGTGTTCAGATATACCATTTCTCAGACCTGAGCTGCCACCAAGCACAGTCCCACCAGTTCGAGTACAGATCTGTGTGCGTAGGGTGTCAGGACACGCCAAGCACAGCCCTAACTCACCTCTTCATAACTTAAATAGCTAAATCACCAAAGTGACAACAAAACTCTGACTCTAGGTCACATGGATCCTACCAGTCATTCTGCTCAAAATCGAAAGTTTGACCCTGATTGATCTTTCACCTTCACTGCTACTCCCCTGACTCATCACTGTGCTGCAACCTGCAAAAACCAGACTCCTGTTATTGTCATTAATGTTGATCTGATGCAGGTTCTACGGCTCTAAGGTAACCAACACAAACAGATGGGTGGGTACATTGTAAAACTGAGAAGACAGCCATTCCAGACAGGTACAACAAAGCCCAAATGAAAGTTCTTCAAAACTGTGCGAAGCTTGGGACGATAACACAGAAACACAAAGTGTGAACAGGAATACAATGGGCCCGTCGGTGAAGTGCGAGGGCAGGTTTTGTCGATACTCAGGTCTAGTCACATTCCACGCGCGTTTTCAGTTCTCTCTCTATTGAAGCCTCCCGTAGTACAAGGCTTCCCGACTCTCTCAGATTTCCTGCTTCAACTTGCAGAAACGGGAGCCCACTGGCTGAATGGCACTGTCATCCCGACAAGAGCTAGACTCCCTTTTACCCCGGGGAACAATAAAAGACTTCAGTGTCTGAGGACAGAAAGAAAGGAATTTCCTCAACACATTCTTGTATTGTTAAGCATGGTACAGAACAGTTTTGCTTATGTGTGATGCTGGTTCCACGCAGAAGGCTCTGGGTGTTGTCTGATCTTTACTGTGAGCTCAGACATGAATCCGAGGTGAGTGTAAAACATTGCTGGGAAGCCCACAGCCAGTACCTCCTGTATAGCAAGGTCAGAGGTGACAGAGCTCAGGGCTGGCTGAGGGAGAATAAAGACGAGCATTGAAATCAGTCTGGCTCCCATTTGGGACTGGTCTACTTTGTTTCTATATTATGGAGCATCTTTACAGACAAATCACACACACTTCGCCTGGCCTAGGGCAGTTCAGAGGAAAGTCTGCTCTCCACCCCTGACACCAAAACAAGACAAAAACATTAGCAGTAGTAGAAGCATCTATTATTTTCTTTATAAACAGACCATACAAAAAGGTGAGGAGCCGCACATTCCCAGGACTGCTTATTTAAGAGTCACTTTAGGCATTTTAAATGATTTTGCTTAATTCCATAAAATTAGTAGCTTTTCTTTCTTGTAAAATTAGCATGCTCAACTTATTTTATGTACGTCCTCCTGTGCGTTTGAGGAAGGGAAAAGAGAGACTAGGACTGTAAGAGGGCCCTGCAACAGAAAAGCTATTAACCATGGATATGTCCAGAGATTTTTCAGAGCCACACACAGTTCTGTTCATGTTGTGCTTCTAATAAAAGTCTAATAAGAACATCATGAAACATTTTTGCACTTTATCGCTGAACATAATTTCTACTTTGGGTAAAATGGGCATCTACTCCTGTCACGGTGGAGTCAGCAGTTAGTCCTCAGTATCCTGGGGAACCTGCTGTAGTTTGGACTGCATGTAGGAAGAGGTTCCTTTGAATTTGCCCACTGTGTCCAACATAGGAACTGAGCCTCAGTGTAGCTGTCTCTGATTACACAACACAGACACCAAATACGTATTTTATTTATTTCTGAGGGCATGACAAAGGTTTTACGCAGATAAAGGACAGATGACTGTAGCAATCTATACAGTTCTGGCCCTGAAGATGAGCTCAGAGATCCACTTAGAACAGCACAGTAATATCCTTCCTGGATACAATGCCCATTTCTTTCAGATGCAGAAGATCAGCCTACAGTATCACCATGGCCAGGCAGTTTATGTACAGAAAATAACCCATCATTGTTATCTCAATCGCACATTTGTTTATAGAAAAGCAATGTGGAATCTACAAAGCACTGCTCAATCTACTAAAACCACAGTTCATAACTTGCATCTCCGAACACCTGCATACACAGAAAAAGCAGACGTTTTACTAGTTTAGGAGGTGGTTGCAGTGCGTTTTTGCTTTCTGCTGGAGAAAAGGCACTCAGACCAAGTGACAGTGAAGACGTTTTCTTCCTTCTGGCCCACCAGACTGAGAGCAGGAGGAGGTAGCAGGTCAGACAGCAGCACTGTAGCCGACACAGCAACTTTCACACTAAACACAACCAACTTCCCAGCCCTGCACACTTCACTGCCTCCAGACTGCTTGGGTCCATTAAAGACAGGCTAAAAACAACAACGCTAATAATACCAATGCCTGTTTTCCTTCAGCCTTCCTCTTGCTTGGCTATATAAACAGTATCCTTAGAACTACAGTACTGCTCTTCAAAAACATGACAGCTACAGAACTGGTGAAGTCTCTGTACTGACACTGTACCAAGCTGCAAAGGTATCTGCTTTATAGCAGAAGAAGAATGGCTCATTTGTCTATAAAGAGCAGAACAATAAATAAGTGAAATCAGTACAAATGTTATGCTATACTTATTTTTGACAGCTCCCAGTGTAAATGCATCTTCAGAGAGAATGTGGATTTACTACAGTACCAGATCAGAGACGGAGATACCAGACCAACTTGAACCTTGCCGTTGGACACCAGCACAGGCTATTTCCTTCTCAAATTTATTTCCAACCCAGGTTTCCACATAAATGCAAACCGCCCTTCCTGCAAGACTGTTCCGAACTGTGTGTTACCAAAGGCATGCCCTGCGATCCGGACGCCATCAGTTAAAACCACCCCTGAACCTCCGTCCCCTCGTCACAAACACCCCGAGCCCAGCTGTCTGAGCCTTCCTGCTCCGGGGATGCAGAGATGAAGGATTTCCAGTTTTGATCATACAGAAATGCCGAAGCCTGAAAGACATGGACTGGAGTTTTTCCCCCATTCGCTCAGCAGTCTCCAGCCTTTTCCCTTTTCAACCCTCTTTCCAGGAGGAGGCTTCTGGCTTATGCTATTTGTGGCGCTCCTGCAGAATGCACTCTAGGAATGATGGTGCTTAATTATCTGGGCCAGTATTATTGGTTCTTTTTTTCTCTTCTCAGCTTTTGTTTTCTTTAATCCCCTATTTACAAACCCAAAATGTTATTCAGCTCAATTCAGCAGCTGCAACCTTTGCACCATGCAAGGATGTGCATCACACACGCTGTCCTCTGCTGCGCAGCCAGTCAGAGCTGGGCTGTGCGAAGGGCAGCGCGCACACACACACACACACACACACACACACACACAGCGGAGTGAATGGTGAGAGGAGGAGGGGTACACCTTTCACTATAAACATTTCACGCTCACAGGTGCCAAGCAGGTTTGAGGAGTCACTTCTGCGTGGCGAACCAAGGAGAACTCAACCCCACCAATTCTGAAGGCACCTTTCAAAAACTACACCACTGCTTGGGTGGGAACCAGCCACACAGTCTACTTATGGCGAGGTACTGCAGCCTGGACTGTAGGGATGGACCCACGCTCTGATGAAGCTCCTTTGCAGCTTGAGCTACTCAAAAACCACCCGCTGCTTTGATCTTGCCTCTTGAAATGTCTTGCGTTTTTACCTCTTCATAAGGATTTTAGTTAACCATCAGCTGATTCTTTTCCAAAAGGTTGATCTGATCTAGGAACCACCTTCGAAGCCCCCTTGCTCAGCTCTTCTGTTTAGTAAGAGTGCTGCTGCAGGAGAGGAGACGGAGCCCCTGGGGCAGACTTGCCGAGTCAGGAGGAGAGCGTCATGGGACAGCGCGAACACTGACCAGCCTTCACATTCCCACTGCACTCCCCCTGTCTGTCCCCATTTAGGATGAACTAAGGGCCAGTCACAATGCCTTTAGTTAAATATGCAAGATAGAAAATTAGCATTGTCACATGATTTCTGCATGATATGATTTCCATTCAATTATACTTCTGCCGGAGCTGTGGTAGTTCAGATGACTAGCTCCTAACCGGAAGGTCCCGGGTTCAATCCCAGGTAGGGGCAAGCGATGGAGCTTGCTCTAATTCCTTTCTAGATAGCTCCCTGGTCCACTCAGCCTGCTTTCCAAATGAGTACCGGGGGTTAATCCTGGGGGTAATAGGCAGGCCGGAGCGTGATGCTGACCACATCACCTCCACCTCCAGTGTCGGATGGTCAAGATAAATGGTGCCCTTGCCACCCATTCCCCATGGGCCTTTATGGCCTGAAAAGGGGGCCTAACCTACCTACACTTCTGCCAAAAATGTTTCCCTAGCTGGAATCTGCCGGAGAAGCCAGACCAACTCCCTTCAATAATGCAGGACCAAAACCCACGTCAACAGTTTCAGGATGAAGAAAAAAACATGGAAGCAAGAAAACCAGAAAACCTCATTAGAGCTTCTGCCACTTAAAGCCCTGCATTTCCCCCCCAAAGACATTCAAAAAGTGGGCTCTTAGCTTGCGTACCTTCCTGGCTCTTGGTCATCGGCAATCGGCAAAAACGCAGGGGAGCACAATACCGACACCCTGGTGCACACAGTTAGGACTTGTCGGATTTCTCCCACATTCTTAACCGCAGGGTGTACATCGGCAATGTGGAACAACATTTTTTTAGAATAATGAAAAACGTAATTTAGCATCACAAAGTGTCTAGTACACACTCCCTTTACATTTGAAAGACACAGGACAGCAGACAGCTGTAGGCGCTAGGTGATGACTGATATCATTCCATCCACAGAAATATTTACCCCAAACCCTGTCTCTCTCCAGAAGCATTCCGATTCTTGCTAAAGTGTCTGGAAGTGATCTTTTCCCTACAGGTGCTGTGTATTTTGCGTTGGGCACGCCTGCTCCTTACCTTTCAGCAGAGGCAGAGGGGTGAGCTCGATGGGTTTGCCCTGAGATCTGAACTGGGAGGAACTCTGCGACCTCTTCTGTTTGGCCTTCCTGACAGACTTCCGAGAAAATCCGTCCACTTTGTCGACTGATGGAGGCGTAGTGGCTGCTGAGGACATATCCCTGCTAAGCGAGAGAACAAGGAAGTTGTTCACACAACACACAATATGGAGATAAAATCAATAATCCGCTTCTGTGCAAACTGGATGCAGCAACCCTTTGCATACGGGGTTTGTTTTTCTTTGTCCGCCCAATCTTGCAGCCATCTGAATGTAAAAAAGGCAGATTTATAAGGATTCTCACACGTATAATGACAGTACAAGTGACAAAAGTGCACTGCGTGTTCTATAACAGTAATGAAATAGGTTAATAATAAGACAGACAACTATAACATGGATAATTTCACCTATTGTTAAATATATTACGAGTAAAAACAAGCTGACAGAATCTTAAGTAGGAATACAGGGAAAGAAGGAAAGTTCAGTCCTTACTCATCTTTCCCCAAAAGAAAGAGCCTGTGTCTTCCTGAGCAGGCCTATACCCAATGAATTTGCCTGTTATGTTGAACTAGGCTGAGCCAATACATTCACACTGCAGTAGTGCAGTGCCCACACTTCGTGAGACATTTAAGCAAACTCTGGTACACAACACTTCTGCTCTACAGACACGACTGTCCCTGATTACCAAAAACTGTACTGAAACAAATGCGCCAATTCAAATGATCCAAAAACGAATCCTGATGGACTAAACTGTAAATTTGGGTTTTAAGAAACTTTACCAGAGATTGAAATGTTATTTTTTACTACAATAATTATTTTGGGGGTATCCTCAGATTAACCAAACTGTGATAATATCCTAATGGTCGTCTCCACTTTACCATTTAAAATCCCTGACCCCCCACAGATGCACAGCTTAAGAGACAGCAGTTTCATCTACTGTGTAAAAAGCACAACGGGCTCTGTCCTGTTATTGCTGCACAAACTCTCTCTTCACTGTGGAGAGCTGAAGAGTGAATTCATTAACCTGTGGCCAAGGCATTAAATTCAAAGCTACATTCAAATCAACAGAAAGCAACAGTGACTAGTCCTAGGATACATATTTTGCAACATAATGCATGTAATAACCTCCAGACACGGAAAGTGCTCTGCAAACTTTAAATGAATTATTATAAAACGCATTAATTATGCATTAAATATGAATGCCTGGTTAAAATTACTACTAGCTACGCCCAGCTATGTGAACAGTATCAGCAGTACAGAAGTAGCCGTGAAGACAGTGGGCTTGCAGCAATTCCGTTTGGCAAATGTGCACCAGTTCTCGACCAGTGTGCTGTCCTTACATAATCAGCCAGATGACATCTATCAAGGGAAAGGGATTAGGCACAGGCAACAAGAGGCTTCAACCCTCTGAGAGCAGCAGGAAGTCAAAAAGCATTATCATAGCTAGTTGGAAGCTCTGGTTATTTGATCACACCGTCGAAGAACACAAACTGGGAGTTCAGGTTAACTACCTACTGCAGCAACAATCAGGAAGGTTGTATTGCATGTATCAGTTTCGCGAGTCCAGGATGTGCAACGCAGATGTGTGTGAGTGTCGAGGGGCTAGGAAGAGGACACACCTCTGTTCCTAGTTGACTGGAATAGAGTACCTGCTGTCAGGAGCCAGCCTAGCATGAAATGAGACATGGTCCTTCCCCTGCCCTGTCACCTCTGCAGCTGTGCCTGCATGGGCAAAGATGCACATTACGTCTGCGACTCTTCTGAAATCTCCCTCTGCAGAGGACGGGCTGGAAACATGGAGCTACGACACAGTCTAGTGGAGTACCAATCTTCAGAGTTTAACTGTGGGACTCCGTTCAGGATTCAGACTGGGAACCACAATGTTTCCACAACAGACAGCACCGTTTGGAAAAGCCTGGTGCTCATGTTCCCAGCTTTTGCCCTGATGGTCTGCAGGGTATTAAGACTCAAGATTAACTACAAACACGGGAAACAGTATCACTCTCGCCTTGGATGAAATATTCCAAAGACTGCATCAAGAATGTCATACTGTTCCTGAGACATCAGATGTGTGCATGTGATATGTTTTCTAACAGACACACTTAAGCTGCTTAATATATATAGGATTCTATAAGATATATAGGATGGTAGCTCTGAGCAGACATACATCCATCTCTGGAAGTGCCAATTGTCTTCAAAGAGCATTATGTAATCATACTTGGCCAGAATCATTATACCAGCAGGGCAGACATTCACATTTCTCCAGTACCCACTAATTGTAAAATGCAGCAGTAAGACACCTGGTTGTTTGTGGACAGCAGGCATTTTCAGAGGTTAAGAGTACTGCAGATTAATCATGCGGTCTTAAATAACGTTGTGTTTATGACGCAGACAGAGCCTGAACCTTTAAAGTTCAGAATTAACAGGAGAACATGCCGACGAAACCGAATGCAATTTGCGATAACTCTGCGTTTAAGAGAGGTAGTGGGACGCCACCTTTCCAAGGATCCAAAGATCTTTCACAAGGCAGGTGTGCAGCTGGAAAAGAACAAGCAATCGGTCAGCTCTGCTTCTCTTTGTGCTGGCCTGTTGAGTGGACTTGTGACCAGGAAGCAGGACTGGATTTACACTCACACTGATCATGTACACCTGCCTATCCCAGCCCAGGTTTCCTGAGTTTAAAATAATAAAGAGAGCTTCAGGCAGGTTGATCAGGAGAGCATGCACGCACAGCATCTATTATTAATTGAAGATTAATAGCCACCCCAGCATGGTCACCAGAAGCAGACATATGGCTGACATCCTCCAAATCCCCTGCTGCACAGCTCGCTGAACACAGGAAGGGCTCAGAAGGCAACCCGATACCTGTCAACCCACGGTCACTCGGAAGGCGACCTCTCCACGCTCTTCACCAGGGTACAAGGGAAGACTTCACGAAGGCGTGTAGTCCGCCACCACGCAAGCAATACGCGAGATGATGTGGAGGCTACTGCGGGGGCAGTTCCTCCCAGTCCTCAAATTGTGGTGAAGGCGATTCCCAGTTCATTTTTCGACACGTTAAAACGCCTGGAGTGTTACATTGTGCTTCGCGCTTGGTGTTTTTCGACTTTCTCTTTCTCTGAAACAGCTGAGCAGTACGCTGAAAAAAAATCCGTGTGGTTCGGCACATCAGGCGGAGGCAATTATAATTACAATAGTGAGTAAAATCAGGTGCACGGTAGGTGATGAAACCGCCTGTTCCGCATTCCCCCGATCAAGGGCTTCAGGTTTTTTAAAACTTCTACGGGAATGACGGTGAATACAGATTACAACCGCGGTGGATGCTCTTCACCTCTCCGCCGTCGCATAGGTGTGATAAATGACCACTTCTGAACCCTGATCGCAAAATATACAGCGGTAGCGATGAGAAACAACCCCCCCCCCCTCCGTCGTCTCCCTCTCCGCCACCACACTCCCCAAAACACATACATATACATACCCAGGTTATCGTGTGACCCTCGTAAATAACCTGAGCCCAGCTCTCAGATACAAACAGCGAAGTGCTCTGCAGCACCCGAGAGAGGGGTCTGGGGATCAAACCGCAAGTTCAGCATTCTTCTAGGTGCCGATGCCCTTTCCGTCCAAGCATCAGAGACGCTTTTTTTTTTTCTACTTTCAATGCAGAAACAATTCATTGCAACAATCCCCCACCCACCCCACACACTCCGCCGGCTGGTTTCTCCTCCCGGAACACAATTCTCCCCGGGAAACTTTGCTACCCGGTATACCGCCGCCACCGCGCCTGTCAACTCGCCCTGCTCCAGCAAGCGGGCCACCCCGCGTCCCCACACCCGTGCGGAGACGGGTGACATTTCCGCCAGTCGGCGAGGGGCTGCCCGCTGCCTTGAGGCGATCCGTGTCCCTGCTCTTCCTCCCGCCCCGGGCCTCTCTCTCTCTCACACACACACACACTCTCCGATCGCGGTTCCCAGCGATCCCCCCCGCCGGGGTGGGCTGATGAACTCTCCGGTACCGGAGTGCCGCGAAAAAAGGCGGCTGACTGGACAGGCCTACCCACAGCAGCCCCGTGTAATCCAAGTGGATGTTCTGCCCAACTAGTGCTACAGACGCGGAATTCATCTAAACACAAAATCCCACATACGTTCAATTTAACTTAATTACATAAAACCTTCCGTGTTGCAAATGAGTTTTTTTTTTTGGGGGGGAGGGGAGCAGATATCTTTTAATTCCAGTTTTGCTTCATTACGTGAATACCGCGACACCGAACACAGGATCCCACTCGTTTCCTATCTACAACCGTGGGGCACAAACGGCAGCAGACGTTAAGAAACCGTGTCGTACTTTACCTTGATCCTCTGGATACAGGAGCGGAGATGGCGATGAGGAGTGACCCCGGTTAGCAGTGGTAACACTTGGATGTGTTCAAGTCCAGTCTAATCAGCCTCCTCCAGCAGCGGCAACAGCAGAACAAGCTATCTTGGCCTTTTTCAGACAGCCAAACCCACAAGCACCTTTTACCTTCTATCGAAATAATCCTCCGAGTCCCATCAATAACAAAATCCGGATGAGTAAAAAAACGGAACGAAATGAATCACATTCCCTGATTAATGACGGAATCGCCAGCTTGCGGGGCACCTCTCGGCTTTTTGGTTATTTTTCTTTTGACTGTAATTTGGGGCAATCTCTCTTCACCCTATTGTCAATATTACTGGGCTGAGTCCATGGCACACATAACACAAGCACAACCTAACGTGCCGCAAGGCCATGGCCCACGAACCACAGCCATTGGCCAGTTTGAAGCGGAGGCGGAACGCGATTGGTCCTCTTGACGCGTCCGTCAATTTTTTTTCCGAGCACAGACGCTCCTAGAGAGATGAATAAGTAGCCTAGGTTGGAGTGCAACCGACTAGGAAGGAGATTGGGTAGGAGCGAAGGTGGAAAATTCCCCGTATGGAATGAAGCTAAACCTGCTCTGAGAGCCCTACCTCTGTCGTGCCGTACTCTACTGTACCGTCCCACTGGTGCGACAGTCACGGAGGGGGACTTGCTAAATTATCCTGGCTCCGCTGAAGTGGAGAAGATTACTAAGTATGTCATCGTAAGTAATGCCAAAGACTTCTGAAGTAAGTGTAAAACTTAATAATAATAATAATAATAATAATTATAATAATAATAGTTTTAGCATCAGTGTCATAAGTTATCTTGAGCATTTTATTAACACTGAGAAAATCAAACTTGTATATACAGGTACATGCTAAATCTAACCCAAGAGATGAAGTGTATTTAATTTTAAAAAAGTTGTCTCTCAAACGACATTTTGTTTTTATCTGCCGTTTTATCCTTTTGTGCGTGCGGGGCTTTACCATACCAATCTGGAGGGTGTGGCAGTGGGCGGCAGTGGGTTTTTTTTGCCCAGGACTCTGGACAAAACGGGTCTACGAGTTCAAATTCTGGGTGAGACGCTGCAATTGTTCTCTAAAGCAAGACGGCTCGCTTAGAGTGGTCTAGATTAACCCAGAATTCAGATTCACAGTAAGGGGCAATATCATGTTTTTAACACAATAGAATGCAAGTCCTGTACAATTTTGTCAGTGCTGTTGATTAGTATTAAATTATTGGCAAAGTAAAAAACCTTGGAACTATGTCTGAAAAGGAGACTTTAACGTACTGGGAACTACAACATGGAAATAATGGTCATATGATATGTGATGTTAAAGGTCCCTGTCTCCTCCTTTAGTATTGAGAGTTTGTTTGTTCACTGATTCCATGCCCCTTGAGTGAAATTCAGACCCGATCGTACACTGAAACCAAAAGGTCTTGAGTGTGAACAGGCCACACGACATTTCTCACTGTCGGGGGCAACTCAACTGTCTGTATACTGGTACTGCAGTCGAGTGTGTGTTTTGATCGCAGACAAACTTTCACCATAGTGTCTATCAGACATTAAGAGGAGAAGGTCAGATTCAAGCTGACTGATAAGAAGAAGGAAAAAACCCTGTCTTATTCGTAGCCTTTCATATTTTCTTTTTGCGTGTGTAGTCATTAACTCAAGAAGAAGTAAGAAGGCTTCATAGCCTTAAATACAAAACGACAGATTATCATGGATTATGGGCTCAGGCAAGATTATCACCTAGAAAATTGCCCAAAGTAAAACAGTTCTGTAGATTTCTTTTGTAAATATTTGCACTGCACATACAGAGTAAAGTAGTGTCGCATGCACTTGTCAGAACAGATCGCTACGTGTTAATTGTAGAGTTTATACAGGTAATTACATGTAGTAATAATAATCGCTTACACGTATATAGCGCTTTTCTGGACACTCCACTCAAAGCGTTTTACAGGTAATGGGGACTCCCCTCCACCACCACCAGTGTGCAGCCCCACCTGGATGATGCGACGGCAGCCATAGTGCGCCAGAACGCTCACCACATACCTGCTATCAGTGGGGAGAGCAGAGTGATGAAGCCAATTCATAGAGGGAGATTAATTTGGCCAGGACGCCGGGGTTACGCCCCTACTCTTTTCGAGAAACGCCCTGGGATTTTTAATGACCACAGAGAGTCAGGACCTCGGTTTTAAGTCTCATCCGAAGGACATGTGACCATAGTGGTTAGGGCTGTGGACCGGGATGGAGAACCCCGAGTCTAGACGATGCTCAGAAAAAAAGACAGGTACGTTTCTTTATTTTAGAGCTGCTTGCTTCTCTTTAAAAAATGGACTAAAATGAATGCTGTTACTTTGGTGAGCAAGTGAAACATTTTTTTGTGAAACATTTTGATGGCCTGTGTTTTGCCTGTGACATTGGTCAGAAGAGTATGTTTGTCGCTAGCCTTTCAGCATCTGTTTTTCAGCGTCCAGCTTTCTGTTAGAGAAACACCCCTACAGCCAGCGCAGCACAGCTCAGCCTCTGGCCTGTGTACCTTTTCTTGGGGTCTCCACCCTTGCCGCTCCTGCCCTGCCAGTTCGTCCCTCACCGCCTGGGCACGAACCCGGGTCTCCGGCGTCACGCAAGAGGGATCTTGCCAGCTGAGCTAAAGGCGAACTCCCTCAGCCCGAGCGGCTGAAATCCCTGTTATACGCAGGGGCGTATTCGTTACACTTGCTCTGGTGATCTGTATGTTGCTACTCTTCACATGCTAACCTTTTCTGAGCCACATCCAGCATTCTGAATCAATACGCCTCAATATAAAAGTAAAGTATTCATTTGTGCACACCACAACAGCACTTTCATTTTGTTAGCAGATCTAATTTATTTCCCAGAATGCAATCACATGCTGCTACAACAACTGGAGTGTGTGTGTGGGTGGTCAGTGCAGCTGCTCTGGAACAAATGGTGATGCTGCCTAATGTGTGATATTGCTTAAATTGTCTTGGTGCAAATTCAAGGGGCTTACATATTCTTTTACGGTGTGTTACACTCTTAAAGATGCTTCATTCTTCTAGGGAACCCATCTCAATGCTGTGTGCGTTATTAACCAGTGCTGTTATGATTTGAAGGAATAAAAGCCTCCATCCCCAACGTCGGCACGGGCCCACTGCATTGTGCTTGTGTTATGTGCAGGACAGTGTGTCTCTGGCAATTCCAGTTCATCTCTCCAGCCTTGGTCTCACCGCTGGAACACTTCGCCCTGATCTTCACTAGCAGTAACCAGAGGTGTTTCTTCGAAACAAGTAGATAACGTGTGTTATACTAGATCAGGGTCTCTAGCCTTGGTCTTGGAGAGCCCCAGTCCAATTATCCTTATAGATCACTCTAAATCTTCTGTTATCTTAAAGATGAAGAATGCTTGTTGCTTTCCATTGATCAATAAAGCAAGTCATGTTTGAGTGAAGGAACACTGGTCCTTGATGGCTGATGAAGTATTTGGATTTTCTTTCCAAATGAGCTCTACATTGAACACACCACCTGTTTAATCATAGTTAAACCGTTCTGGGGTTTTATAAATAGGTGAATTAGAGGTTACCTAACATACCTGTCCAGGACCAGGACTGGAGACCCCACTGCTAAATTCCCCTTCTTTTTTTGCTTAGGCTGGTTGCGGGTAAAGATTATTCAAAACGTTTCACAACTGAAGAAAAAAATTGCAATTTCATATTGTGGTACATTAATGCAGTGAGACTTATATAGGTATTTAAAGGCAACTGTAATCAGCTGTATGGACCATCCCAGCAAAAATTCAGTGTCCTGGCTTCTTTCAAGAAATGGCTGGATAAGACCCTTGTATTCATGAGAAACTAATTACCAAACAAGCTGGATAATGCAAATAGCCTCTTCTCGTTTGTAATTGTTTTTATCTGGATTAATGCGAGTATGTATGCAATCCATATGAGGGTGCTGGACATGAGAAGGGGTGAGAGAAGGGAGAGAGGGGTCGCATGGTGATGATGTAACCCAGGAAGTGAACATTACTGCTAAGAGAAAGCAAATCATAAGCCAACATGGCAACTTGACTGAAAAAGAGGCATTGCAAAGGGTAAAACCTTTAAGCGTGCTTTTATTTTAGGAAAAAGATGTATAATAACCTGAAGTTAATGAAGTGTATTGCTACTATAGCCATTCAAAAACAACCATGCTCACAGTATTTCATTTGGCTTCTGTGCTGCACAGTAATATTCATCCATTTTTAACGATGACAAATAATGCAGTATGAGTCAAAACAGACAAATGCAGAACAGAGAGCAGCTCGACAGTCCCACTGACTTCAGTGGAAAAGAATGGAGCCATTTCTCCAAATTCCATCACGTACTCATGTTATTTTTTGCTGCAGAACAAACAAAGAACATGGCACCTCACAGGACGTGGTATCTGCCTGACTTTCACAGGAAGTACACTGCTACTGGGATCGGCAAAATAACAATGTCCGTGTGGCAGAGCACGGAACAGCACACGGCATTAAAACTCCAGTTTGGATGAAATCATTCAAAATACCGTTCAGAAATACCGTTCAGAAAGGGCAGGTATCATTCTAACTTCTGCATAATCACTAACAGAATGGTCTGAATCCACTGGGAAAGATGCATGAAGCAATTCACCAGCCAGTGGTTACAAATGACCAATCAGGCAGAGTGCACTCTCCTGCTCCTTGGGGAAAGTCCACGCTCAAGACTAGCAGCCCATCCTGCTGAGCTTATCCCAGGCTGTTTGCTGCTTGAGCAGACTGAGAATGTCTATGAAGTCTATGGCATGAAGTACTTGTACTCTGCGTGTACAGCAAGGATCTGAACCCACTACCTTTCGATTAGGGCTCCAGAGATTCCTGCCATCAAACCCCGGTGAAGCAGTGTCTGAACGTTTTTTCAGTTTTAGGGGTTAAACACGTCAATAAGTGTCATTCTCAATTATTTTCAGAATACAGTCTGAAGTATCGTTTTGTACAATTTTATTAACTTCAGTAAATCAGAAACGGGATAAAGACGACTGCTGTTTCTGAACCCCCGTACACCCCATCAACTCCCTGAACGTTCAGTGTTCAAGTCATCTGAAGCGCACAAAGACACTGCAGGGGCTTGCCTTGCTCTCTGCTTCCCCACACATTTTCTCAACCCTTGGGTCTGAAACAGCATCTGTAGAGGCCCATTAGAGGGCACCAGAGTGAGGTCTGGTTGTAGAAAATACAGTCAACCCCCTTAAAGGTTGTAGTTTAAGGGGGATCACCTTCGAGATGCACTGATATGGTAACATACAGCTCTTCGATTCATTCATTACGTACTGTATCAGAGGAGAGGCCTTTTCTCATTCACCCTGTACGGCTTACATGGACACATACCCTACAATCCAGGGTGCCATCTCGTCTTAATGACATATTCCTGCTGCATTTCAAAGGAGCCTCATCTCCTGTCTCACTGGTAGACCGCTATCCCTCATTTCTTCTCCCTCTTCCCACTGCCGATGTCGCGAGCTCTGGCTTTGTGCCGCAGGGCTGGGGCGCTCTTCAGAGAGCTTCTCTTGTCGCTGGACAGCTCCACGGCACCCGGCTTCCACAGCAGGAGCTGTGCATCCTCCCCCCCGGTGAGCAGAGCGCCCCCTTCAGGGTCCCAGTGGAAGCAGCGCACGGTGGCGGAGTGGCCCCCCCGCAGGGCACACACCTGCTTCAGCCCCCCGGGGCCGCAGTCCAGGAGGTACAGATCCCCGCGGTGCGTCCCGCCCAGGACCAGCAGCTTCTCCTCCGCCTCCAGCCAGGCGCCGCCGATGAAGTAGTCCAGGGGTCCGCCCCCATCGATGGGCGCGGCCTCCCGGGCCCGAGGGGAACTCAGCAGGGTGAGGGGCTCCTCGGTGTCCAGCCGGGCCGTGTCCCACAGGTACACGCCCTCGTCGTGGCTCAGGCACAGCAGCTGGCCGTACCCCCGGCCCGCCCAGCAGACGCGGCTGACCGAGGACTCGGAGTTGCAGGTGCCGAGCAGGGCCTCCTCCTCCGAGCCCCGGCGGATGTCGAACACGTTGACCAGGCCGTCCGTGGAGCCCGAGGCCAGGCGGTCCGGGTCGCGGGGGTGGAAGCGGACCTGGGTGACGTCGTCGCTGTGGGACTCGGAGTACACCCCTAACGGTGCCCCCCCGCCCGCGCCGCTCCCCGCCATCCGGGCGTCCCAGAACACCAGGAAGCTGTCCTCCTCCAGCCGCTCCGTGCCGGCACACAGGACGGCGCCGCTGGGGCTGACGTCGAAGCTGCAGAAGGCGTGCGCGGAGCAGCCCCGGAACACCTGAACCGCGGCCGAGCCGGGGCTGCGCGCGTCCCAGCAGCGCGCCGTGCCGTCGGCGGAGCCGGAGAACAGCAGGCTGCCGGAGGCCGGGGCGAACCTCACCCCGCACACCGGGCCGCCGTGACCGCTGCAGCGCCCCAGCAGCCTCAGCGTGTGGCCGTGGTGCAGCCGGATGGAGCAGTCGGAGCAGGACACGGCGACCAGCTGGTCCGCGGAGCCGGCCGCCCGCTCCGCGCACGCCAGCTCCAGGAGGTAGGTGGGCTCCGCCATCGGCTCCGCTCGCCTGGCGATAGCGAGGGCCGCGAACGCGACCTCCAGCCTTTCCATCCGTCCAGCAGCGAGCTGTCCTCACGGGAGAGGAGGAGGAGGGGAGAAAAGACACACCTGCAGTCAGGACTTCAGCGACACCTCTCCCGTTTCCCCAGGGTGTTCAACATCTACAAACCAGCTCTGCACTGTGGAGACAAGGCAGGCTTCTACAACTGCTGGGGAAGCGAAATCAATTAGTCCATTTATGGAACGATACGTGTTTTTTTTTTTAATATAGCTGCTCATGTCCAATTAATGCAAGGCAACGCCACAATATGACAACTGGTATCATTTTTTAAAAATCGGTCATTCTAAAAGAATGCGCAGTTCCTTTTTACGAGGAAAATGAGATGAAATTCAAGCAAAAATAAATTCGCGTTTCTTGTCTGTTTCAGGCAGGCAAAAGAAAAGTGTTTTCTCGTAATATCGGGGGGAATACACTTTGTCAGAACCTGTAATAATTCTGTCAGTTTCTTAGTTTACAGGCCTGCCGGGAAGAGAAAAGTTAATGACCGCATTACCGTGTAAACGTAACACTGGATTTGAAGGATAATATTCAGCGCGTATTAATTTTAGGATCTTTAATCAGTGTTAAAAATAAATTATGTAAACATATCTGAAGGGAAAATGAGAACCCCAAATGCTCTAAAGCGGCATCCACCTTCGTACTCGGGTATTGATGAATAAACTATCCAGAATTATCTGTTAATTTTCGTTTCAGTATGTAATTTTTCTATTTTATGAATCCTATGTCGTTGACTCTAGTGCTAAGAATAATACTTTCTCGAATTAACAGATCTTCCTACCTCCGAACGTAACTTTCTCCTGGATTGCAGTATCTAACTTTCAGCTGATACAAAACACCATGCGCAGTACTCGTGTGTAACACCATCTAAGGTCCCTTAGAAACCCATACTATCTTAAGAACATTTCCGCTTTAAAAAGGTCGTGCTCTATTTTACTCTTTTTTATAATGGTGGTTGCTCTTCAAAATTTGTTAATTAAAAAATGAATGTTAAATCAAATAAGTACCTAAACGTATATGTAAATCGGACTGTCATTAAATTAAAAGGTAAGGGGTTAAAAATAAGGTAACATCCGAATCCAAACCACCAGAGGGCAGTAAAGCACTTTCTGCTGCCCTGTTCTGGAGACCCGAAGAATATACCAGAATCTAAGAAAACTAAGAATATAGTTTCCAAACAAGGTAATCAGTGCTGTTGGACCTTGTAGTTCTGCAAACCTTAGCAACTACATTTTATAATGCACTCATAATTCTCAGCTGTTTAGATGTTATGGGGCACTGGAGATTTTCTTTGTTTTGTTCTCAAACTCAAAACTGTGTGCAGTACTGTATTTATGTGCCTTGCGATCATCTGGAGTCTCATCCATTTAGTAGTCTTTAGTAGGTTGACCCCTACCAGGAATAAGTCATGTCTCTGACAATGGATGGATGGACTATTCTGCCCCATGTTGAAAGAATGACCTCACCATAGTAACTAGACACATTAACGCAGACCAACATCTTGCAAGTGGTTTAATTTATTACTCTCCTTTCTTGTTTTAAACCGTAAAATCGTTCTAAATCAACAGTTGATTGGAAGTCCTTATAAGACAACATGTCCAAAGAAACAATATTTCTGGATGTTTTAAAAATACTAAATATTTGTTAGTTGATTGTGGTCTACTTCACGGTGAATGAAGAGATTACTGCTGTCTCTGGCAGACAGTGTTGGCTCTCCTTCTCAGAGGCAGTGTGTCTCAGTCTTGGAGTAGAGCTGTTAAGACTCTGTGGACACAGAGTACAGTCGTAATCCCCTGTGTACCAGCCTGGGCTCTGGTCCTGTGATGAAAGAGTCAACACCTACTCACACTGAGACAACCAAACATCCATGTGTTACTCCAGCCCCTGTGTAACCTCCAGTATTTCTCGGGAGGCTCCTAATTTCTGAGCCTTTCTTGGAGTCTCTGGGTTTTTCAAGAGTTAATCACAATTAACTGTGATCCCAACCCAACAGCATAAATAACGTTGTTACACCAAAAGCACCCAGTGATCAAATTTAACGTGGTACCTTTCAAGACCTCTAGAAGGATGATCAGCAACAGATAACCAGAGATCACTTTCAATCAGGTTTTCAAAATCACAGATTGCATTTTCCTGCACAGAGAGATGATGGTCCCTTTAGGGAATTCCTCCTGTGATATACTCTGCTCTAAATCCCCATGTGATACAGTCAGCAAGGTGCATATATAGTATTCATCCTGGAAGAATATAGCTATTATCTACTTCTTCAGGTGCCTCTAAATGTTGATGGTGATTGTTGATGGTTAATGGTGGAGACAGATGGTACTCTGTACTTTTGTTCCGTAATCACTATGCACACCCTTATCCACCTGCCCCCTACAGAGCAGACCCAGCGCTCTCTTTGAATTTCAGATGCCAGAGGGATCCTTGGAGGACATGAGAATTGAATGTTCGATCTTGTATCCTGTGCTCGGTTCCTGGACTGGGGGCAGGCTGGAATCACAAGGCTGTCTTTGTGAAGAGAACAGAAGACGCCCTGAGGCTGTCTCTGCCAGCTGTCCAGCTGAAATGTGATCCAGGAGGCTCCTATCAGTGAGGCCTGCCCAGGAAAATAGGATATCATCCACACTTTGCTTTTCCTGCTATGGATTGGTCATGGGTGGCTCTAACTTCCTGTACAGCAGGCTTCCTGGTCAACATCAGGTTTGCATGAACATAAACTAAGTGTGCAAATGACAGAAGGCCAATAGCCCATCTTGCTTGCTTGGTTAATAATAGCCAATTGATCCAAATATCTCAACCAGGCATTTCTTGAAAGAATCCAGGGTACTGGCCTTGACAACATGAAGAAGAGAATTTGCATCGCTGAAGTCCGATCAATACTTTCCGCTACAGCAAATTGTGTGTAAAATCTGTTAAATAAATAAGTAAATGGGTACATTTTTTGGTGAAGTTTAACAGTTGAATGGAGCACGTGTGGAGAAATCTTCAAGGTTTCTGTGTTCTGCTCGTTTACGACTGATCCCACAATTACAGTCCTCTATGTGTTCTGTAATTAACCCTGAAGATAAAAGCAGTCAGCGCACCACTCCAGATGTTTCTCAAGAACAGCCCACAGACAGGTTTGGGGAACAGATGTGAACAACCATGGCTTGTGCAGCACTGCATAAAGATACCACAGGCAAAGTAACCACATTCCCAGGGGGAAAAAACGAAATCTGTTCAGATTGAGCAATGCCAATTGAGCTCCCGAAGATTTTTTAGTGTTTGGATTCCTGTAATCGCTGAAGGTTAAAATTTCCTGCTGAACTGTTATGAGAATATGTTCCAGTGCTTTATTCTGTATTAGTTCTGGCTGCCTTTCAAGAATATCTTCCTTTCTCTCCCACATGTTTGCACACAGCCTCTTTTCCAGCTTGTGTTTCTGTGTTGCATGGTTTGTCACCAGAGGGAAAAGTGATGTCACAGTTTGTGGGGATCTCTCGTGTGGATCACTCCAGCGCAGTGCTGCATTCCCTGGAGGAAGGTCCTAAAAGCACAGTGCTAGCAACACATGATCCAAATAACAACGGAGACAACTAGCAGGGTGGGGGAGCTAAATCACATTAGCATGTTCACCAAAGCTATACACAGAGCACCAGAAAACATGCCAAGATTTTTTGGGGGATTTTGAGATTCGTTATGCCATTTGGCAGAACTGAATGGAAAGACTTCTGCTCACTGTCACTTATTATTTACCAGAATCTAAACATCAGGGAGGGAGGATAGGGGGCTGGGCTCAGTTCGATGTTTTACATTTTCAGTGGAACGGCAGAAAAAGGTGGATCTTCCCTTGCGTTCCTCCATTTTTCTCTTCTAATCAATGTTTTAATAACAACAACAGCCTAAAAAAAACTGTTTTAAAAATCTTACACATAGGAAGTGAACCTACTTCTTCTTTTTCTCTTCCCTTGCGTGGCTTAGAAAAAAATCCCCCAGATCATTCCCTTTTCTCTCTTTAACCCCTCAGTTCTCCATTGATCTGAGCTGGATTTCCTCACGCGTGAGCCTGCAGCCCCAGGCTCCGCTCCGTGTTTTGTGATCACAGGGAGACATGGGGAACAGGCTAGAGGCTGGGCCTGGAGCACAGAGACTTGTGGGAAACAGAAACCGGAGGAGAAAAGGAAGAAGGGAAGACTGTAGGGAAAACAGCAGACTCCTAAAGGAGGTCATGAGAAGGGACAGTGGGGAGCCCTGCTGATGAAGACAGCTTTGATCCCCCCGATTCCGAGCTGCTGATCGAAAACATCGCATGAGGGCTTAAGCCGTGAATCAATACGCCCAGCTACGCCACCAGGGAGGAGATTAGTTCATTCTTGGCTCAAAAGTAACAAGCTTGTCTGTGAACCCAAGTACTGAGGGTTTCAGTATAATCTACTAATATGGCAAGTGTTCACTGAACTGTTTCATTGAATCTATTATGGCTCCAATAGGTTGGATGCATTAGCTTCAATCACCACCAACAGCTGCAGCCAACAGAGTGAAAGCCCGTAGATTCCTACTTCCTATTTGTTTTGACCTTATACACAGGAACAGCAGTGGCCTTCCAGGATTAACTATAGGGTTCTGAGACAGCAATGGGCAAAGCGCCGTGTGCAGAAAAGGCCTTTATAACGAGCCACTCGACTGAGCTGGCCAGAATGGCTGCCAGTCATCTTCACCTTGTTAATTGGCCTCAATGGTGACGCACTGCAGTGTTATCCATCTAGTAGTGTTTCAACAGTTATCCTTTAAAACTTTATAACTTAAGACGTAGAGCATGACATACGGGCTAAATGAAGTCGGCACATTTTATTACTTTTATTGTCACGACTTCACGCTCTTAGGCAATTTTAAAATGGCTAAATTGGCCCACAAAGGGGACTTACTTTGTTTTCAATTAAGCCTTAACCACTGCTAGCCTGAGTACTGTTGCTTGCCCACCCCACAGAGGCTCGTAAAGATGACGGCAAAAAAAGTTTAAGCTATCAAATGTGATTTACTGGGATCTTGTAATAAGAACACAATTATAAGCGTTTGCATCATGAGACAAATCCTTGCGTTTTTCTTGGTAAGAAACTTATGATAATTATCGATATACAATATTGTGACAAGAAATACTTTCTTCAAATGAAAGGATGCTCTTCGTTGTGTGTGGATACATGTGGTGAACTTGGTACAAGTTTATTTTTCTCAGTCAATGATTTTTTTCAAGGGTGAGAAGTGTGAAGGAAGCTTTAAAATGAGTTTTTTTTTGCCATTGCTATTTACCAGGGCTTTACATTTCAAACTGCTTTGAATCGCCACTGCAGTGCACTGAATAACAGGAACAGCATGGAAGATGGAAGTAAGGGTTGAACTCAAAGCATGTTTTGCTTCAATTTAGAATGACACCAAAACTACACCAAATCAAAACTCACAACAAGTTTGAGAAAAACAGAAGAGGATCATGTTTGTGATTTATAATCATTATAAAAAACTTACCGGGTTTTCATAAATATCAATACTATAACAAACCTATTTAGCAATGACAAATCAATCACTGTTGTTACTGTATTCATTTCTTTTATTTCATAGGATAGTGTACACTACCTCAGTGTATAACCAGTTCATAGTAGGAAAAAGTGCATGCTTGAGCCGAGCACATTCATCAGGGCAGAGGTGGTCTAGCTTGGGGTGTTAGCTCTTCATACCCGGACCTTGTCAGATCTTGGGATCAAAGCAAGGTTGGGTCTGGTCAGTGCTGGGATGGGAGACATCCAGGTTGTTGTTGCAAGTGTTGTAAGTGGACCAGTAGGTAGTGCTCTTCCCTTTGGACGAGCAATATTCCATTACGATAAAAAGGAGACTTGGGAAAAGCACTACAGCTTGAGTTCTTGGAATAGTTTGCAATAGACTGGGGAAAAATATGTTTTACTAATAATGCTTTACATTACTTGTATTGAAAATAAACCCTCATCAGCTGCAAATATGCTCTTGAGACCTGCTGCACACCAGCAAAAACGTAGAAACCTGGCACCTGCGATGACTGACAGCTGAGGGCATTTATAGCCAGCAGCCATATCACCCTGAAGCTCAGCAGATGTGAGCCTGGCCAGTACCTGGATGGCAGACCTCCTGGGATAACTAAGGTTGCTGCTGGAAGAGGTGTTAGTGGGGCCAGTAGAGGGCGCTCACCCTGCAGTCTGTATGGGTCCTAATGCCCCAGTATAGTGACGGAGACACTATACTGTAAACAGGCGCCGTCCTTTGGTAGAGATGTAAAACTGAGGTCCTGACTCTCTGTGGTCATTAAAAATCCCAGGGTGCTTCTCAAAAAGAGTAGGGGTGTAACCCCGTGTCCTGGCCAAATTTCCCATTGGCCCTTACCAATCACGGCCTCCTAATAATCCCCACCTATGAACTGGCTTCATCACTCTGCTCTCCTCCCCACTGAGAGCTGATGTGTGGTGCTGGAGGGGAGTCCCCATTACAAAGTGCTTTGAGTGGAGTGTCCAGAAAAGTGCTACAGTATGTAAGTGTAAGGATTTATTATTAATGATTAGTATTTGAGAAGTTGTTTGGGTGAGCTCAGTGATACTCTGACCTCCTGGAAACCTAAACAAATCCTCTGAGGCCCACACCACGAGTACAGTCTAACTCCTCTTGGAGACAGTTCAATGAGACAATGAGAATGGAATCGATGGCATTTAACACGGTGAACTGGAATGTTTTGAACAGGTTTTCCTTTAACAATGCCTCATTTCCCCCTCCCTCCTGAGATTCGTGCGTTTCCACTGCTCAGCAGTTTAGTGTAACACAGCCTAGAGCAAACTGTAACCTGGAAAACCGGATCCTTTGAAATGGACATTAATATTTCAGTCGATGTAAATCAACACGCTAAGAAGAACTGACACAGGCCTAACGCTTAAAGAGTATTAAACCAAGCAAAGTTCACACAGAAGAGAAAGGTTTTCCTTATGTGCCAATGGAGTCGATTTGCTCAGGAGAGAAAGCTGATTGCAGGTGCAGTGTCTGCATGCACGAGGACGAGGACCAGAATTAAAAATATGCTCCTACAGGCTAGAACACTTATGATACAGAATAAGAGGTCAGACTGCTTTTTAGAAATAAATCAGCTCCACACCGTGGTGACCAAATGTATACTTCTCCGTTTATTTCTAATTAAAAAGCAAAACTATTTGCAGTTATCGACATATAACTCATAACTGTTGGAGCATCACAAAACCAAGGTAACAGGTTGTGGTGGTGGATGTTGATGTTCTGCGATTTGACCGTCACCCTGTGTATATACAGATCCCCGCCTTATTCAACTTATTCAACCTCCACGGACAGAATACCACTGGAACAAAACACCAAGCACAAAACAGAGCAAGCACAGTAGTAAACTGGCAGCTTGCCCGTGTACATCATGCAGGGCCTGAGGCAGATGGTCAAATTATAGAACACTTATATCACAGATGCAGAAGTGGGAAGGTTCCTATGCAAGGGAGGTTGCTCATTTAAATATAGCAGGGCTTTGTATATACATTATACAGTACACACACGGCATTTGAATTTCCAGATACTCCCTGCGCTGGCGAGATGAAATGATACACCCGCGTTGTCGGCTTTGAAGTGAGTTACCAGCACGTGCCATTTTGAAGTTCCCACTAATCAGAAAGTGCCAAATCACCCAGTCCTGTGAGAGCTTTCACAGGTACTGTGGGTATTCTTGTGCTTTTGTTCTCAGCAATAAGATTTCTGCCCACAGCAAATGCTGACTAAACCTGAGCTGGAACTACAGTATGAGCTCAATGGACCGTTCTGACACAGATTACCTCTAGATTACTCACTTTTTTTAAACCGACTTAAGCAAACCACAGTCCTCGTCTGACGATTCCTGTCATATAAATGCCAAAACTGCAGGGAATTGTCAATCAGTTCTAACACCCGACAGCAGGTGGTTTGGCGTTTGTCAATCAGCTGGAGACGGCAGCAATTCAAGGACACTTTCTGGTGTCTGGTGTAGCTGAGGAGGTCAGTTCTGGAATGATCAGACCTGACGAACCTCCATACCGACTACAATGACCTCCTTCAGCATTACCACCACGCCTTCTGATTCACAGCCTGATCAAAAAATATAAATATAAAAATAAATGTATGTTTCTAAAAATAAAATGTGACACTGTTTACAACAGTTAAGAGCTTGTCCCCAAAATATGGAGATGTCTCTTTTGTGCAAATTTTATTACGCAGGCCACCAATCATTAATTCTGGACAAACATTTTACTAAAGAGAGCAATGAAGAATAAAAAAAAAAATCAAAGCAATGAAAGGATACAGAAGTTGTTTTAAACAGATGCCCTTTAAGACACACAAAACTGAATTCTGTATTTACAAGTGCAATTGCTACAGGATGACCAGACATCAAGTAGTTAAAGACAAATAACAGTTGGAATACACAATGGACCCATATGTACTCATATATTGTTCTTCTTCAACACATTCTAAAATTCTTTCAGAAGATAACTGCAGCCTACTTTTCTGAAGCACAAGAAGATGCATGAAGGCTTCAGTGCTCCTGGACATAGACTTTATTACAGTAAAGGCACTAGGGTATCTAGAATAACAAAGCTGTACTCCTCTCCACAAAACTAGGGGACGATTTCTTTTTTTTGGTCAACATTTCATAGTAAAAGCTACCATCCATTTGCACAGTTTCTTTAAATTTGAATTTTCTTAACTTCAGAATGCACCAATGCAAAGCTTGGACTGGACACTGCATTGGCAGGAACACGTAAGAACTTAGAGACAGTAAAAAAATGCAAACAAAGACGACATTCTTCTGCCACCAAACTGATGACTTACAGGGTTTTTAGCCTAATGAGACAGACTTTTAAGCTCATGTGACTATTTGACCACGACTGCTTCAGGAATAGTCTTTAACTACTGCTCCTGTCTGCCGCGAAAACTGAACTTTCATCTTGAAACAGAATAGTAAAGGTAGGAGAGGAAACATTCATCTTGGATAAAATCAAGAGAAAAAAAGAGTATGTATGTAAAAGCGAGAAGAATAAAATGATCTGGGATTAGATTTAAGGGCAGAAAACTATAAAACACTACACATTGATCTGTACGACACCAGGTTTACTCCTGTGTTTGTTAGGATGTACATGGCTTGCTGGAGTCTGAGTTGGGTTCACAACCCTTAGTGAAAGACTAGGACCTGATGTTTTGTGCTCTGCTGGCTTTCCTTGCTGTAAAGTAAAGTAAAACAGTCGAATCTGAAGGCCAAATAAAATCCATACAACACTGGGGACTGGTAACGTCCAGGGGTAAGGCTGCCTCAGATGGGATACTCAGTTTTATTGCTTTCTACCGATTTAATAAAAAACAATCTTAAAAGAGGAATGGCTATCCTAAACAGAACTATCCCCAAGATTAAAATTCAGTTCACAGCGTTTCAATCAATGGAAAAGTCGATCAAAAGTAGTTTCTATGCTGCAGAAGACTACAAGTTATAACATCTCCTTATTTCAATGTAATTCAATATGTTTTCCTAGCAGGTGACATTTGTAAAACCAGTAGTTTCACATAAATGTGATCATAGATTAAAATGAGCAGAGTTACAGCAGGCAACTGCAAAACAAAGGCACATTTTTTTTTCTTGACAAAACTGCATGCAAGCTCAAAATAACCCTGACTTTAGAAATCCAACCCTGTAAAATCCCATTCATAGATGTGACACAATATTCTTAATTACACCTTTCCCAACACTGAGATCACTGGAACAAAACAAGCACAAGACAAGGAGAAATAAAAAAAACAAAGGAAACACAGAAAGCCTCTCTGACTCCTGGCTTTTCTTTTTTCTCAGAGTGGCTGCACTGCAGCCTCTCTGCACGAGCAGAGGACAGAGTGAGGCAAGAGCACTGCAGTCACAGAGCAGGGAACCAGAAAGAAAAAGCCTGCCTGCTTTTAGTGGTTAACATTCTGTAAATCTCTTCTAATCCAAGGATATTCCTTCTTCAAATAACAGTGCCCTTTTAAATTCACAATTTTGTTTTGTACAAATGAGGTCTTACAGTATTTACTTATAATTTATGTACCGTACAAATGCAATAAAGAGCTTGGTAATTTTGGAAGCGAGACAATGAATACTGTATAAGACTGAATAAGCTCTTCCATCCTGTTCAGTTGGATTCCCCAAGACCTTCAAATGCCCAAAAGCTGCCCTTTCCAGGTGAGCCTTGTGTGAGGGGATAGGCCATGAATGAGAGCAGATAACTACAGCAAGACCAGAAGCAGAGGCGCACAGCATGGGCTGAGCGGTTCTTAAAATCCGACCGCAGCATTGAAACTGTTTTCATTGTGACTGTGCTCTTTCTCCGGGGGACACCTGCAGGTCGGACTTGGCGGCTCATGATAAAGCACCTCCCACCAGAGCTGCTGCAACTGGGCCCATCGCCCATCGCCCAGTTCGCGGTCATTGGTCACCAGCTCGGTGGCGCGGGAAGGGACGGCTCTACAGCGCATTCCGTAGAAGGACAGACGCCAGATTGTCCGAGACCCAGAGTGCGGCTCCTTGTTCTCCTCCTATCACTCTCATGCCATGCCGCCCACTGTGGGATTGGGGGGGTGGGGGGTGTTCAGATTCTTTCAATATTTACATGACATTAATAAAAGCATTACTTGCAGCCACAACTCCACAGCGCCCTCCTGCTTAATGAGGGTAGCAGCTTGTCGTGATGTGTTGTCTTGTGTTCAAGGTCAGCCTGACCTCTTGACTAGAGATACTTCCTAGTTCCCCCACTCCCCCCCCCTTTCCTGACCACCTCCTTTCTGGAGATTTTAGCCCAGGAAGCGACACGGAGCTTCTTATACAAGATGTTCAGTCCACAGGAAGCCAGTGTACGAGGCCCAGGCGGCTTTCAGCTCAGTCAGGAAGCCACCGGCAGCCCTGCCCTGATCCAAAGACTGAGATTACTCAAAGGGAAACAGGAAGACCAGGAAGCGACTTCCAATGTCACGAACACGAACACAGTCAAGGTACGTCTACTGGGCCGCACACCGGAAGAAATCTATTATAAGTGATGCTTCCTTTAACCATATGATGTGCTTGTTCATGGCTTCACTCCTAACAGTCCTATCAGCACTAAAATCTGTTCTTCAGCTCTATGAACACGTTTTGCACCACTGTGGGAGACAATCCACAGGGAACTGGAACAGAGCCCTTTGGGAGGAATAAAAAATTCAGTTCCACATACAGTACATCGGGTTTTTCGAAATACCTATTCTAACAGAGATCCCTCAAATTAGGAAGACGGAGAATACTCAAGAATGTCCGATATGGGCCGGCGGGTGAGCCTTTGTCTAAAGGAGGAACTAGCATGGCCTGTAGTGGAGACTGGATCTCTGTCCGCTGGGCACGAGACCCGTGTTTCTGCCGGTTCTCTCGGGGTGCAGGGTGGTGAACGGCAGGGGGCCGGATGCAGAATCTTCACCAAACGAATGAATTTGCGTAATCAGTCTTGTATCACCCCCATCTGGGGTACACAGCGCCCTTCCGCTGGGACCGACCCAGATGCGTTCTCCCAAAGAGCCCGGATTCCAGCCCGCTTCATCAGTGCTGCGAGCAAAAAGGCACAACGAGCCGCACGACGAACCCGAATCCCAAAAGTGCCTTCTTTTCAGGGCGGCCGGGCCGGACGCCATTATCAGCTGAAGGTAGCCGCTCTGCAAACTGCCTGCAAGCTGCGGAAATAGAATTTCTTTCTTTTTTTTTTTTAAAAAAAAAAGGTAACATAAAAATACAAAAATGAAAAACAATGACCAAAACGAATCATCAACAAAAACGCAATAAAAGGCAGCAAGTGGGAGCAGGAAGTGGTCGATTTAATCCACTCCCTCCCGTGTCGGCTCTGGAGACGCAAGGAGCCGGGGGGCCGAGGGGACTCGGGGTCGAGGGGGGTACGCGGGGGACGTGTGGAGAGAAGAGGGGAGGAGCTCCTCCCCGGCATCAGAAGAGGTTGAGGTAGCTGAAGAGAAAGGGCACCAGGAACAGGGCGTTGAAGCCCACAGTGCCGTACACGATGTAGCGGTAGGGCAGCTCCACCTCCATGCGCTGCCGGGCCTGCCGCACGTCGTGGCACGGGATCCGGAACAGCCGGCAGGCCAGCGGGATGGTCAGGGCCTTCATCACGGCCCGGGTGGCCAGCAGCACGGCCACGCCCAGCACGAAGCGCACGAGGCACCTGCCCACCAGGGCGGCGCTCAAGGGCGGCGGGGAGAAAGGCAGCTGTGTGAGCGGGGGGTCGGGCATCAGGCCCAGCAGGTAGTTGAGGTGGGACGCGCAGGCAATGCCGGCCCCCGTGCCCAGGATCTGCGCCGTGTCGCCCCGGGACGTGCTCCAGGTGTCCAGGGTGAAGGAGAACACCCCCATGGCCAGGTGCAGGCTGATGATGATGAGGGGCGCGTAGCGGCAGGTCAGGTTGAAGTTGTCGATCACCTCCAGCGCCGGATGGAACGCCACCAGGATCAGGATGCTGTACAGGAACCCCACAATGACGTCCTGCGCAACAGCAGAGGACATGCAGATCAGACGGCGCGTACACACATACACACACACACACACACACACACACACATCAAAAACGCCGGCAGGCTAACAGCTAGGAAAGCAGCCCAGCACAGCTTCCACGCATTAAACACCGCCGCCCTGGGGCGTCTCCCTGTTTCTCGTTCGAGTCGTGCAGAAGCAGCACGACGGATCACACGCTGAGCCCAGCCCACGGCTCCCAAAGAAGGAACCCCCGACCCAGCCATAATCAGCCGTGAAAATAGTGAACACACGTGTTCCTTGGTGCGATGTGTTTTGACGTGGGGGGAAAAACAATAGCCATATTCAAATTAAGGCCTGCACGGAAATATTCCACCATCTAAAGGTACTATTGGATATGCAAATGCTACCTTATGCAAAACGTTTTATTCCAATTAAAAACAATTCAGCTGACTGAAGCTCTCAATGAATGGTAGCAAAAAGAAGTCTCTGAATGGGAGGTTGAGAGGGTCTTTGCTAGCCTGCCCTCAAACTGAAATTATATACTACTGATTGATGGATTATTGTTTATTGTTGCACATTAAAATACATTTTATTTTAATTCAGTAAAGTATATATTTACCTCTTGTTTACAGTTCTATTAATACATTGTTTAATAGAGTAATAAAGTGTTAATACAGCGTTTTTATATTTTAAGCTACAGAGAGAGGAAAAGTGTGTAACGATTCTCATGTCAGTGTTTGGGTATACTGTTCCTGTTCAGCACAGCTCTTCAGAAACTGGCTGATCCAAAGTCCCCTGAACTCTTTCACAAGCGCTGCCCAGTCCCTGAGAGGCTGATAGCAAACCACAGCCAAACAGGGACCTCCGATTTAAAGTCTGGGGTCCATTTCAACTCACAGCAGACAACGGACCTCTGAACATGAACCTTCTCTTTGTTCTGTCAGTACTATACTGGTGTCTGTTCTTCTCTACTATAACTGTTGGGGAAGGGTTTTAACTGTATGTTATTTATGAGCACACAACTGGTCATTCTGATTTCCTCTTGGGCCTGAAATATTTTGACTAAAAATGACTTACAGCCCCATTTGGTCTTTCACCTCACAAATAAGAGATATTCGAGAAAGCTGGAAAAATGCGAGTTTTAGACAAGATTAAAGATATACTACTGCCAGGCTCTCACTCTGGAAGCAATGCATTCTGCTTTTGCAATAAAGTACTCTTGGTGACAGAGTGCCTCCTCCAATGATCTTCACAAAGGTCTGAGCTTTCTGAAATCCCTCTAATCCTAGAGAAACCCCCATAGGTTTTCTGGCTTGGCTGCTGTACACAAGACAGGATTGATCAGCTGGCTTGTGCTCTAAATGCTATTAATCCTTCAGTACACACACCTCAGCCTCCCAGAGAGCAGACTCCACTGAGCCACGCAGTCTGCACAGAGCTGCCGACAGAATCAGCTTGAACACAGAGCGACAGGGCAGGCATACTGCACCACAAGAAATGTGGTCCCTTGAAGAGGACTCTAACCCAAGTCCAAATTTAAGAGCCAGTCAAATCCCTGGGATCCAGAAAGCCCAAAAGTGGCCAATGAAAGTCTTAATGCCAACATTTCCTATTTTTAATTAATTGAACTGTGTTCTGTATTGCAGTATCACTGTATTGCATGGTGTAAGTATTAAGGCTCTGTGCACATCAGGCTGAACCTTTTAAAAACCTGTTGGCTTCAAATATCTCTACTGTATATTAATCTTTAGTCTCCTACCACACTGAAAGCCGACTGCAGGGCTGCAGGAAAATGAAATCAGCTCTCGCATGGGGCTGACTGACATGAGAGCAGCTCTCATATCTGGCTAATTGAGGCTAGTGACTCATCCCTGCAAACAGATAAGCATCAGCAAGGGACTTGTACACAAGGACTGATAAAGCATCCAATGAAAATGAGCTACAGGGGAACAAGGAAAGCGCAGAAGAAAACACTTCATTCTAGTATTCACTCCACAGCAGGTAACAGGAGAGGACAATCTGTCTGGGACAATAGGAGTCTCAGACCGTGTGTAAATGAAGTAGATTATAATTAGTTAAATGGATTCACTTAGAAGACGCTCTGTCTAAAGTCAGGAGTGTGTAACTCAATTATCCCTGTCTGGATTTATAATGAATGAAAGTATGAACTTTTTAGACAAAAAAGATTTCAAACATGCATTTATCCATTCGACTGGACCTGAAATGAGCAACGGTTCACTTTGAATACAACACAACAGCCAAGTCAAACAACTGTGTGAGATGAAAGGTAAATGTCTGTGGCTTTGCTACTGAAATTGAAATTCAAAAACAAATTATTTGTATGAAGAGTATCAGTCTCATTACTATTTGTTCACTTTCAGTGTTATTTTATTGTGTCTTAAGGCGAATGCTGTATCATTCTGAATGATACTTTATGTGAATTTGAAATTAATTGCACTAAAAGAGACTATTTATCAAGACCGAGCGCCAATGAGTCAGGTGTTTGAATTCACAGTTTTTTTTGTAAATAGTAAATACAACTGTTTTAGTGCAATTGGTGGACACATCTTATTCACAGTCTAATTCATAACTATTTTGGAGGAATTCACCCAGAATCCATATTATTCTACATGTCATTAAAACACAAAACTGGGCATGTTCACTGGGTGTCATTACACGAGAACAGCTCTCATGTCAGCCTGGATGACGTGTCTCCATGGGTCCCTGCTTCTGCAGGGTGCCCCAGCCGCTCCAGGCCCACCTCAGTCAAAGGTTTAAAGGTCAGTTCAAAGGTCAACTGCCCACTTCTCAGTGACCTGCAGCAGGAAAAGTGTGGAGACTGCGAGCTAGAGAGCTTCATCACAAGGAAGGGCCAGCCCATGCCAAGCCAGCACAGCCTGCGCTTGTGCCTTAGAGAGTGCTGTTTTTATCTCCCACGCCCTGGTCCTCCACGGAACTGTGCTTTCTTGAGGAGGTCCTCTGACCAGGCAGTGCAGCAGGGCTCAGACTGACGAGGAGGCACAACGGAGAGCCAAGCTCACAGCTAAAACTGACAGTGTTCCCAAAGTCCTTTATAGATGAGGCAGGGGAAAATCAACATTTAAACAGGCTTTAAGTTATACTGAAATCTCATGTGTGTTTCTAAAAAAGCAAGGGAAATCTGTGCATTTCATACGACACACTGAGCTCTTAGCGGTACTGAGGAGTGCTTATGAACTGAGTGTGAAATTCCAGGGAAGCTGTGATACAAGACCTCTGCACACATTCTGCCTCAACCGCTGTTGGGACTAGAGCCATCCAGCTCGCTGCCCTCTGACCCCACGCCCCTCCATGTGTTGCTGCCAGTGGGATCACTCTGATGAGCGCCAACATGGGAGAGCTAAGCAAAACCCCGAGCAATGGGGGGTGTTGTAGCTCGGTAGGGACTGCCTTTGTCCCAGTGATGCAGGGGAGTAGGAGAGTGTAGACTTCACTGTACTGCAGTCCATCTCCATCTGATGATTCACAGCTTTCCCATCTTTCACAGTAAGCTTATGGCTTTCACTGTAACATGAAACATTACTGACACTACCATGCCACTAAGAAAACCAATACTTTTGAGGAAAAGCAAATTGATTTATTTATTTTTTCCCCATTTGCAGCCTTGTAAAACATTTGCACAAGTTTTATTTATCCTGTCTTCGCATGCAATGTTTTCTAATTCTGAATCATTTATTACATACGGATCCGCTTCATGTTTCGTTGGACGTATGTTTAAACGTACATAAAACATGCAAGAGTGCTGTCTTTCACTGAGCATTTATTTTGAATGTTACTTTCTGTTCGTCTGTTCCTTTCCTAACAACACCGAGTGTTTCACACAAGATTAAATGAACCACGTCCATGGGCCAATAAAACCATTGGCAGCAATTCACACAGAGACCGTGAATGTGCTGCCAGCGCCTGCTCTCCTATCTGCCTGTGATCCCCGAGACGCAGGAGCCCACAGCCCTGCGTGACCAGCCCGACCTGCTCTTCCTCTGGCCTCTGCAGGCCCCATCACGCAGACCAGCCCTACGGGGTCCCGGCTCTCTCTTCCATTCGGCGGTCTTGAAAGGGCAGCTCTGAGGCCCGATTAACGAGACCTCATTCTCGCGTCCAAGAAAAGCCACAGACACCGTTAATACTGTAAACTGGCAGGCCTCTGAACCTGAAACTGGCATAAAACGGGTCCGTGGGAACCTGAAACACGCTACCTGGCCTTGTTGTTGAAGCCGATACACTGGCTCCTATCGAAAACTGGCCGCATGACATTCCTGGATCAATAAACTATTGAAGAGCTGGAGGAGCCAAACGGCCTTCTCTTGTTTGGAACCATTTTTATGGTCTTAAACAAGCACTAACTTGCTTCAACATACTGTATATGCATGCCTGCTTTGGCTGGGTATTCACATGCATTTGAAATCTTGTGATCTAAAGACCGTTGCTCAGCACTTAAATGAATGCTAACATAAGGAGAAACAACACTTTACTGATTTTAACCCCTTTGCGTAAAAACACTGAGGTTCACTGACCGAGAAATGCTAGACGTCAATTCTTTAAGAGGACAGAAGGGCTACCCAGCTACAGCAGAATTTGCCAGAAGTGTCACTGACTCGGTGATTAAGTGCTCATTGACTGGAAACGAGCTGTGGGTCTTGCACAATCACATTCTGGAAGCTGGAAGGAGACTCGGGATACTGAACCAGAGGAAACTGTGACCTGGGAACTTAAGATAAGGGAGACTAATGTACGCAGAAATTGAGTAAACAGAGAGCACAAAAAAACCTCAATCACAGTTTCATGATAAAGGCCTTTTCTGACGTGCCACCAGAATCATAGATTGTGATAAAACTGAAAACAGCGTAGGAGCTAAGGTCAAAGCTCTTGATTTATTAAATTCTTTAAATACACAAACCACAGAACAAGACTGTCATTTACAGTCTCTACTGGCATTTAAGCTATTTATATGCTTCTGACACAACACCAGTAAAGAATGGCTCTTTGCTGTTACACGTACAGAGCAAGGAGACTAACCACAAAATGTTACCGTCAGACAGACACCCAGTGCCTGGGGCTATTGATAAACAAGCTAGAATTAGACAGCACATTATCCTTACGCTGCCTCCTCAAGACTTTCCAAGTCTTTCTCTGCCCGAACACAGCAGGAACTCTACCGAACTGTATTACTGTACGAGCTAGCTCTCAGTGCGTGCCTCCTTCAAGACAGAGAGGCCTCAGAGAAATTTTGCAATGCTCCTGCCTCACCTTCCTGTCTTAGTTTCTTAACACTAGCACTAACTGACGTTCGCCACGCCAGTGAAGTCTAAAAGCTTGGCTTAGCACTACTGAACGTTTGCCTTAAAAGTGAAAAAGTAGTCTGGGCTCTGCACGGGTTTGCTGGCATCTTTGAGAGCTGTTGTGTTGTGTGATCCCCTCTGAAGTCATGGCAATGGTTTCCAGTAAAGGGAGCACAGACACTCCTTACTGACCACAGAGAGCGCTGTTCTTGTGAAGAAACAGCATTCTTGTTCGCAACAATGCCTATAGGCTGATTTACAAATGCTATAGACCCACTAATGTCTGTGCCTTTCTCAATGACATGCTGTATGTCTTTTTCCAGTTACAGATAGCTCAAAAGGATACACCGATAAATGGGCAGAAAGCTTTAATAAACCTTTCGATCTTGGCTAATTTACAGCACAACAGTCTAGTCTGCATATCTTGATGCGTTTGCCTAGCAAATCGCTTTGTAGAACCAAAGAAATCGACCCCCCCACCTGAACAGATTTTTCTCTCTATAGCAGACAGAACCTTACTGTGTTACAGAAGATGTCTGTAAAAGGCAAGGCAGTGGTGACTCATACTCATACTCTCACTGTAGCTGGCACTAGAAGGAAATCTGTTCTATTTCTGCTGACTTGTTCGGTTGGAAATTGCAGGGGAAAGATCCATGTAATGAATTATGATAAGGCTTTTATTGCACAGAAACAGTCTTTTAAGAGGACAGGCACTCATTTAAATAATGGCGACTCTTAACACTTTAGCAAGGTGGCATATTGGTTTCATGTCTCCTGCAGGGACCTCAGTAATGACATAAAACAGGCAGGGCTCAGGGCCCAGAGCTGCACAGCGCTCAGCTCATCATGTGGATAATCCCCACAGCTACAGCATCTGGCACTCAACAGTGCTCAATTCAGTTTAATAGTGTCACAGTTACATGTACTGTAAATCGAGCATTATCATTAAGACTGAATATGCTTTCTTGCGAGACATCTTAGCTTTCATTCACACCCAGTCCCAGTCCATAGTTTTTCATCCCACTAAATTCTTGCTGTTCTGCAGCAGATCACGAGACCTGAAGACGAGACTCCAGAACTCAAAACGCCTGACTGCTTGAGTGATGTGGCAGAGAGTGATGTCAGCGGGGCAGACGGAGCTGCTGGGTTGTTTCAGCAGCTTTTTTAGGTTTGTAGTTTCCAGTTTAAAGTGTCAATTTCTATTTGATTTATCTACTATGTAAACAATACACACAGATGTACTTTCTGCACTGAACATTCAATGTGATCCAGTGCACTACAGACTGCTCCTAAACCTGTAGTTATTTCCTGCCTGCAATTTTACCTCCTGTGACTTTTTTGGCATTTGTTCTTATTAGCAATAATTAATAGGCCTGTTTTATTTGTATTTCTGAGTACCACTGTCTATGACAATGTCCTTAATGATATGAAAATGAATAATTATACTAAATGCAATTAACTGTATATTAATTATTTGTATTTAGTATATTGAGTCATAAAACAACTTTTGACTCGCAGAAAAGAGCTTTGCAAGTGACTCCTGGGAGAAAGTGAACAATATTCACAAGCAACACCTATGTGGCAAAGAGTACATTAGGGCAGGTTAATAAAACAAGGACAGCAAGTACTCAGATCTACAGAGTAGCCAACAGCTAGCACAGAGCAGGTCAGAGAATGTGTAAGGCATCCAGCCAAACAGTGATTCTGCGAAGTTCTGAATTCTGGGGTTATAAACTCCCCTCATTTACTTTTACTATATTACTATTCACTATACACTTGGTATACTTGCACAGCTGAAAGGCTAAAAAAACTTTCTGTCAGCAATGGTGGTTAGAAAGAGTGAAAACCTCCCTCCTTCTGTTTATAACCTCAGCAGTGATGCAATGCAGATATTGCAATCCTGTTCGGATAGCTTCTGCTTGTTTTTCAAAGCTTTGAAAGGTTGAGAAGCATATGTTATTTGGGACAGCTGCACCTTGGTTATTTTTCTTATATACTTTGCAGTTCAGTAATTTGAATGTAAGTGCATCATCCACATTAATAACAATAGAGGAGATTTTACATAAAACACCCAAGCATGAGAGGATGCTATAAGATGTTAATGACATACCATGGGTAGTTTAATGGACTTGCAGAACCAAAGAATCTTCTCTCCAAAAGCTTTGGGGATCCAGCATCTACAAATCGACCTGCTTTTCTAGTCCCATGGTTAGAAGGACGTTGTGTTTGGAGCACGTTCCTGTTCTAGTGCAGGAGACCACTGGAGGGCCTAACTGAGGTGACTACACACCTCAGGTCAGTGCATATACCGGGAACCCCTAAAGATATGAAAACACACAGAATCTTGTCTCTTACCAGGATAGAGTGCATCCCCATGTAGATCCTGCTGATGCACACCAGGGAACACCAGCACACTGCCGAGGCCAGGCCCAGCAGGAAGGGGTACTGGAAGCCGAGAGGGCGGGAGGAGAGAGAAAGAAAAAAGGCAGTTGTCAGTGTTTGGATATCAGTATTTGTAGTCCTTGACAGTACAAATCTCTTCGCTTTCTCGGAGACTAACACTGTGACCTGCCTTGTCTTTGGCGAACTCATTCAAGATGCTGAAAAGGCTACAAGAGAAGCTGTGGTACGGAGGGCAGCTCCCCAAACTGGGGGACGGTCTACTCAGGAAGAAATGAGGGAGGGCTTGTGTGTGTGATCCTAAAGATAGGTGAAAAGGAATGTACAGACTCCATTGTACTTCTGACCTGCAAACTCGAGGGTAAAGCATACAAATGAAGCAGGAAAGCCAATCTGATTTGTTTTAAACGAGGTGACAAGCAACACACATCCAGCACTTGATACTGGTATCAATAAAAAAAAAAAAAACACAGCTTGTAAAAACAGGACATGGCTTAGACTGCCAGTCAAAGAGAGACACCTTTTTTTTTTTTATTCCTGTTGCCATGTCAAATGAGTCGAATGAAACTGGGAGATGATACAGGTTAATTCCACAACCAGGTGGACCGAATCTGAGTCTTGGTCTACCCTGCAGTAATGGCAATTTGACTCCAATTCCTGGCCCTGCTGCGCTCCAGTACAATAAGATGAGTCCTTCCCTCTGAGAGGCAGAGTCACACACGGGAGTACAACAGTCTCCCACAGCAGAGCAGCAATCCGAGCCCCAGCGCAGCCACACCTCCGACTGTAGGCTCAACAGAACAGAGGTGTTTAAAAAGCTACTGAACAGCACACAAAATACACAGGGACGAGTCTGGTTTAGTATCCACATCAAGCCAGTTGTGGAATCCTATAATCACAGCGAGTGGCACAAATCTACATGCCTGGGCAGATGCTCTTCGTTATGTTCTCCCTCAGAGAAATGGACAAGTGCCATAATTCCCAGCAGCGCTGGGCTGGGTACTACAGAACTGCTCGGCCGCACTGGCTGGCTCACTTGTTCACCTAGAGCCCTTATCTCAGCTCACGCCGCCAGGCGCGGGGATGGTGCATAATTGATGAGATCATTGTCCTGACCACCTGCGCAGGGAGGACGCTGACGATGCCCCAGGCTGCCCCTCTTCAGGGGCTGATCCTTCAGTTGGGGGTGGGGAGAGCTCCACAGTGGGCAGAACTGCTGAATCAAATATCTTCTACCACCGGATAACAGTTTATGGCAACGACACACACATGCAGGCGAAAAAAACCCTGAACACATGGAGCCTGAACCCCCAAACCCAAGTAAGTAGAGAGCAGTGGTGACAGGGCTGAGGAAAGCTTTTTTATTTCCCCTGCCTGCCCTTTCATATGTTTTATGTCTGGTTACAATTTATTTCCAGCAGAAATGTCAAACTCCTATCCCTCTGGCACGGCTCCATTCAGCTTCGGTGTGCTGGCTTTAGCAGCCCAAAGCGCCTGTGATGCTCCGCTAATCCTGTGATGCAAACAGAAGGCAGCATGTCCCTATAGGCTCTGGACCACAATCAAACCACACAGTACAGCACAGGAACTTTCACTTCAAGAAGTGCAAAGAAACACTACCGTTGGCCTCCGTCGAAACGCCTGGTGGTGATTTTAAATTCAAAATCCTAAATAACACTGTATTAACAGAATCTAACAATTTAGATTCTAAATAAATTGTATTTAGAATTTCACTTGTTCTGGTCTTTAATAAAAGGTTTGTATTTTGTAGCACGGGGAAGATGTATATCTCCCGTCACACTGCCTAGCTCATTACAGCACTGGTTTCCACATCATGATAAAGAGATATGAGCTTTAGGAACAGTCCAGAAAACAGAAACCGGACTTACAGCAGGGGTAAAGGACAGACAGATTAAAAGAGGCACAGTAACCTCTTCAGCCCTATAAAGGGACAGTTTAGGGGAGACATGATTGAAGGTTTTTGAAACCTTTTAAGGGGATCGATAAAGTTAAACTTATTTGTTATTTCCAATTAAGTGCAAGGGTATTTAATGACATGGAATACGCAGACAAAAATGTGGAGGTCGTTTTAAAGTGCGTAGGGATCAATTAATGCCCTGTAAAAGAAAAGGTGAGCTCTTTGGGACTGAACGGCCTGTTTTAAATGGATGTATTTCCGTCTTTTCTCACGATTTCTCTTCCTATCTAGAGGCCACTAGACACTTCTGTATGTCATCTGTGTAATATGTTACACTTTTTATCTGGGCTGCACTACAACAAATTCCAATCAGCGTTGCTGACATAGCAATAACGTACTGAATCAAACTGAACTGAACTGAATAACTGCTTGCTTTGCTACAGGTGTGGACGATTCCTGTGGCTTGTCGTAGCTCACTACCTGACTGACAAACATGATTCCGACCCAAAAGAAAAACACAAGAGCTAGTTACATTAAACAGATCAACTGATATGAACCATGAACAAAATGTTAACAAGTGTTCTTACTGCTAACACAAACGTATTTACTATAACACAGTCTGTGTACTGAAACACTTGCATTGCGTCTCAGAAAGGAGTGAGGGCAGAGTAACAACACTCAAACTGGGTTATTCGAGTCAAAATGTCTTCCTTCCTGGAAATGCGACAAAGGATTTACCCAAAAGGGGGGTATTCTGGGGACTCAATCACTGTTACCACTGGGGGACACAATCACTGTTACTTCTGATTAGTAAGAACCAGACAAGTCAGAAAGTCTGATCATGGGAGGAGAGCTTTCAGTCCATCAGGGCTGTTCCTCTGGTCACCTTACTCTCAGCAGAATGGCACTTCATTGGCTGTGCGTCACCAGGGGTGCAAAGTCGAGCTGAAACAGACTACCTTGTCCAGAGCTTATCTCCGTATCCGCTGATCCGTGTTTCCACGCTGCCTGGCGTGACAGCAGCACAGCAGGCCTCCTCTTCCTGAATGCTAAGAGGCTGCTTTGGTAGCCGGCTCTCCTTGACCAGCTCTGTTTATCGATGCCAGATGCAGGACTGGGACCCCTGTGGCAATTTCTCGCAATCCAGCAGGATGTACGGCTTTATGACCCAAAGGCTTGCTGTCAGACGCGAGTAAATATCTTATTTGTCAAGAGGGATGTCAGGGTCATGGAGGTTGGTGTTACTGAATTAAACATGGAGTTTGCTGCAGGCACAGAAAGGCATCAGAGAGATGTCCACGCTTGTCCACACTTGCCAGCAGCTATATCACCCTGCAACTCACAACTGGCAGCCCCACTGAAGCTCAGCAGGTGTGAGCCTGGTCAGTACCTGGATGGGAGACCTCCTGGGAAAGCTAAGGTTGCTGCTGGAAGAGGTGTTAGTGGGGCCAGCAGGGGGCGCTCACCCTGCGGTCTGTGTGGGTCCTCATGCCCCAGTATAGGCGACAGGGACACTATACTGTAAAAAGGGGCCGTCATTCGGATGAGACTCTCCGTGGTCATGAAAAATCCCAGGGCATTTCTCGAAAAGAGTAGAGGTGTTACCCCTGCATCCTGGCCACATTTCCCCCTGGCCTTGACCAATCACGGCCTCCTAATAATCCCCCTCTCTGAACCAGCTTCATCACTCTGTTCTCCTGCCCACTGAGAGCTGGTGTGTGGTGATTGTACTGTGTGCACTATGGCTGCTGTTGCATCATCCATATCCAGGTGGGGCTGCACATTGGTGGGGGTGGAGGGGATCCCCATTACCTGTTAAGCTCTTTGAATGGAGTGTCCAGAAAAGTGCTATGTACTGTAAGCGTTAGGAATTATTAATTGTTCTCGTTGCTGTTGTTACTTCAATATACATCCCTACAATTAAGCTACAATTCAGACTGTCACCACATTCATTCTGTTATTCACTTCCCGAGCCAAAGTCAAAGTCAAAAAGTTCTCTTTCAGGTCTTACTGGCTAATCGAGAGATGGGCGTCCTGCATATGGAAAACCTGATGTTCCCCATCACAAGCAGTACCCCAGCCTTTTAACTGGAGATGTAAAGATACAGCTCACATCTATAAGCTGTGAAAAAATACTTCATTTCCCAAGAGGTTTTGTTCATTCCAATAAAATGTTAAAATAATTTGCTTCAGATTCAGTATGAAAAAAGAAAATACTTATCCTTCTACTACTTCTCACACTAAATTATGTCTTGTCTTGTAATAACGTCTTTCTCTGCGACAACTTCGTCAATAGTATCGGTTGAAGGCCAGAGCCCTGATAAACAGTTGCTTATGACAAACAGCAGATTGTACCACAATACAGCAACACTCCTACAGCTCAATAGAAAATATTAGTCTGAAAGCAGTGCCAAGAAAACATTAAATATCTCTAATGCGCTAGTGTAGTACAGTTTATGGGCACTGAAGTATGCTTGGCTGGTCTGAATGGGCTTTAGATTTCGTTTATGATCCTCTGATAACAGCTGTGAAGTAGGCCGACTCCATTGAGCTGCTGCAGGAGACTCACATGGACAGTGATAAAACACAGGCCGGATTCCGCCTTGAGCTGATCACAGCATTGCGCATGATAGCGCTCGGGTTAATGAGTACAGGATTAGCAAGAATGCACTTGGCATTCCCAGAAATTGCACTTTCAGCAGCAAAACAGATCCAGGGTCCACCCTGTGCAGAGTGACATAAGCCGGAGGTGTTGCTGGTGAGTGATCCTAGCTCAAGGACAAAGGAAAGACCTGCCCAGGCCTGTGCCCATCTTAATCCAGAGGAAACAAACAATCTGCATCTGATCGCTCAGATCCTTAAGCATTATCCCACATCCCATAGATCATGGATCATTATTCCATAAAGGGACGTGTTCAGCAGTGATCTATTCCAAAATGTCTATTTATTTTGGAAAAACAGCTCTGGGTCCCTTGTCCCATTTATTTCCTTTTAATCAGCAGTAACATCCAGGTCCGCTGTTGAAGTGGGCCAGGGCTGTCTAGTCCTGGAGGGCCAGTGTGTCCTTTGGTTCACCATTTTCATCCCAGCTCTTAGCGGGACACGACCAGCTCGCTACCGTCTTAAC